CACTGCTTTTCATCATTTATAATTTGGATGTGAACATAGGAGGTATGGTTATTAAGTTTACAGATGATCCCAAAATTGGAGGTGTAGTGGACAGCGAAGAATGTTACCTCAGAGTACAACAGGACCTTGATCAGATGGGCCAATGGGCCGAAGATTGGCAGATGGAGTTGAATTTAGATAAATGTGAAGTGCTGCATTTTGGAAAGGCAAATCATGGCAGGACTTATACACTTAATGGTAAGATCCTGGGGAATGTTGCTGAGCAAAGAGACCTTTGAGTGCAGGTTCATAGTCCCTTGAAAGAGTTGCAGGTAGACAAGAAAGTGAAGAAGGCATTTGGTGCGCTTGCCTTTATTGGTGAGTGCATTTGAGCATAGGAGTTGGGAGGTTATCTTGTGGCTGTACAGGACAATGGTTAGGCCACTTTTTGAATACTGTGTTCATTTCTGGTCTCCCTGCTATAGGAAGGATGTTGTGAAACTTGAAAGGGTTCAGAAAAGATTTACAAGAATGTTGTCAGTGTTGGAGGGTTTGAGCTATAGGGAGAGGCTGAATAGGAAGAGGTTGTTTTCCCTGGACCGTCAGAGGCTGAGGAGTAACCTGAGAGATGTATAAAATCATGAGGGGCTTGGATAGAGTGAATAGCAAAGGTTTTTTTGCCCGGGTGGGGGAGTCGAAAAGTAAAGGGCATAGATTTAGGGTGAGTGAGGAAAGATTTAAAAGAGACTTAAGGGCAACTTTTTCATGCAGAGGGTGATGCGTGTATGAAATGAGCTGCTAGAGGAAATGGTGGAGGCTGGTACAATAACAGCATTTAAAAGGCATGTGGATGGGTATATGAATCGGAAGGGTTTAGTGAGATATGAGCCAAATGCTGGCAAAGGGGACTGGATTAATTTAGGATATCTAGTCGACATGGACGAGTTGGACCGAAGGGTGAATTTTCATGCTGTACAACTCTCTGACTCTGTAACTGCTGGGAGGGAGAACTGGGTGTCGCAGGCACAGTTGTTAAGCTGGATTCCAAGACATGATATGTTGTCATATGTGAAATATGACAATAAGATCTACAGAGAGTGAGCAACACAGATAAGGATGGGGTCAAAAATGAATTCTCTTGTCCCTCAGGTTATTATACTGGTGTGTGAGGTAGATTTCATGAATGAAATTAGATTGAAAAAGACAGAAAGAAGGGAATAACCTGCACTACACAGTACCTTTCATGACTCCCTGATGTTCCAAAGCACTTTACAATGTAGTCTAATCACTTATAATGTAGGAAGGTAAATGTATCAGCCAATTTCTCACAATTTATCATCATTAGCACAGTAAAACGCCCTCAGATGCTTTGTCAGAATGGTATCAAACAATTTTAAACTGAGATACAGGAGGACAGATGACCAAAAACCTTGACCCAAATGAGATTTTCCCTCCTGTTCAAAATAATGCCTATCCTTCTGGGAGGGTCAGATGGGGTCACTTTATTGTTTCAGCAGGTGACTTTGAGATTGCGGAGTGAAAGTAGTGTTAGGAGCACAAACCAATCAGCTACGAGCCTATTAAGAGGTGATACAAGTTGTTTGGCCTACTCCAAGTTCTTCTCATCATTGTTATAAATTGTCATTATTGTTCCGTTTTCCTACTGCTTTCAAATTCACCTGAATCTGCCTAGTCCTGAGCCTGCATACCTCTGTTGTTTCTCTTGCATCACCAGTGTGCTTTCTCAATTGGTAGCAATCTGTCTAAGTCAAAGTGAAGCATCACTCCAGTGACTTTAGCACAAAGTATAGGCTGAAGTATTGGAAGAATGCTGTACTGTCAGGGTAACATTTTTGGATGAGACACATGGGAATTGGGAGTATGCCGTTGAGGAGGGGCTGGTTGCTTCGGAAGCAGTTCAGAGGAGGTTCACTAAGTTGATTCCAGAGATGAGGGGCTTGTCTAATGAAAAGAGATTGAGGTGTTTAGGTCTATACTGTGGAGTTTGGGAGAATGAGAGGAGATCTAATTGTGGTACATATGATACTAAAGGGGATTGACAAAGTAGACTTGGAGAGGATGTTTCCTCGTGTGGGCAGTCTCGAGTGAGAGGTCATGCTTTTAGTGTAAGGGTGGCAGATTTCAAACAAAGATGAGGAATTACTTCTCTAAGGTCGTGAATCTGTGGAATTCACTCCCCCAGAGTGTAGTGGATACTAGGACACCGAGTAAGTTTAAGGAGGCGATAGAGAGATGTTTAATTAGTAATGGGTTGAAGGGTTACGGAGAGCGTTCAGGAAAATGGAGTTGAGGCCGACTGGTACAATTACAACATTGAAAATTCATCTAGATGAGTATATGAATAGGAAGGGTTTTGAGGGATATGGGCCAAACGCTGACAAATTGAACTAGATTTATTTAGGATATCTGGTCGGCATGGACGAGTTGGACTGAAGGATCTGTTTCCATGCTGTACAGTTCTATGACTCTAAGATCAGTCATGGTCGTATTAAATGGTGGAGCAGGCTCAAGGGGCTGAACTGCTTCCTCCTGCTGCTCATTCTCATGTTGTTATGTTGCCTTTTATAGGGTCTGATTCCACAGTTGAAGACGCAGAAGAAAAAAGTCCTGAACACTGTAACAATTCAAGTGATTCACAAGGTAGTTTTTTTTTGTTTGTAAGGAATTCTTGTTTCTGTAAATACTACCTTACAATATCTATTTACTGAGGTGGAAATGATGTACTGACTCACTAAATGCAGGATTTGTTCCTTGAAGGTTGCTTGCCTGAATGTGATTTTCTTTTTGTGACAAAATCAAAATTGTCTTAATTGCAACATCTTTGATAAGGTTAGTTGATTGTAATACTGATGGAACTGTCTTACAGACTAGAAGAAACCAAGGTCAACTCCTCTTTATTTACTTTTATTTTGCTTTATTTGCTCCCCTTCTGTCTTTTCCCAACAATTTTCTCACTGTACCGTCTCCTTTAAAGCAGCGAATTGTGCTTGAGTATAGGTTCATGGTGGTGGCTCTCTGGATCCTCAACCAAGTGACTATTCTTTACCTGAGTGTCTGAACAGTGAGGGCTAGATTTTCATCTTGCTGCCCACGTACAAAACTATTTGTCTAGATTGACAATCTAGTATATAAACAGTACAGTTTTATTTTCTTGTTTTTCTAATCTTTGACCCATTCCCTCATGACTAGGCACTGACATTTGCCAAGAGGAAATGCTAGAAATTTGTGTTTTCAAACACTTGGGGAAGAGAAAATATGGTGGTTTTCAAGAATGTCTTAAATGCATCAGTGCACTTTTTAAATCTACTTTCTCTTTTCAGACCTTTGCATGACCTTGAGACCAATAAACTCTGTTTTGAAAGGAACTAGCAAGAGGCAAAGTAAATTTGATAACTGGAGCCCTTTTAATGACCAAGAGAACAGATTTAACACACATCATCCTGAACATGGAGTTTCAATGAACAATAAACACCAAGACAATGCAAACGAAAGTTCTATTGGTGATAGTTTGGAAAGACAGGCCAAGTCCCCTTGCTCAACAGTTCTTTATCAACATAAGTGGCCTCTTAGAAAACCATCTTGTGATGGGCTGTACAGCTGTGAGCATTGTAACTTCAATAGCAAGTACCCATCAGAGCTGAAGCAGCATGTTATTCTCAGGCACACAGACACTCTGCCGAAGATCTGTCCAGTTTGTAAACGGGAGTTTCTAACGTACAATCTACTCCATAAGCACATGCAGGTCCATGAAACAGAAGAGCCAAATGCTTGCCAGTTGTGTAGCTACAGTGCAGAAAACCCAAAGGAGCTGGAGTTACACGTGGCAGATGTCCACAGCACTGAGTATCTGTACTGGTGTGAACAGTGCAACATCCACTTCTGTAGTACCAGTGAGCTGCATCTTCACTTACAGCAGCATGATGGTGATGAGCAGTACCTCTGCCAGTTCTGTGAGTATGGCACAGATGATGCTGCTGATCTACATAGCCATGTCCTTGCTGAACATGCATACAGCCTCATGGAGATGAATGACAGCTCCGAAGATGGTCTTCAGGGACCTGCAGGCTTCTTAAGTAAAGTGAGCTTCGACCGGGAGAGAAATTTCTTTATCTGTCAGTCCTGTGGCTATAGGAGCCGGTTGTACGGCAATGTAAACCGGCATGTAGCAATTGAACATGCCCGTTTCTTTCCATACGTGTGTGATGATTGCGGGAAGGGATTTTGCAACACAGCCGAATATAACAAACATTTGAACTTGCATTCTTCTCAGGAGATCTACCTGTGTCAGTACTGTGATTATTCTACTGAGCAAATTGCAAACCTCCTATCCCATATCGATATAAGCCACGCTGCAGCGCTTCCATACAAATGTGAGATGTGTATGTTGAGGTTTGCAAATGATGGTGAGCTCATGTGGCATCTTGCTAAACACAAACAAAACAATGAGTTGCTATGGTATCAGGGATATGATTATTAAACATCATTTTAACTTTGTTACTGTGGCTGTGTCTTGTAGAATTTCAAGAGTGCAAAACTACAATTTTTTTTGATTATTTAGAAGATGTTCCTGTGGAAGAGTGCCATGTAAATCCTCACAAGCCTATCTGACTATAGAGAATCCAAAGTGGCTTAATTTGAGTGTGTGGAGCATTTTTTGTTGCTGTTCTAATTTCACTGATTGTAGCACTGTGTATGATGGCTGAGAACAAAGCAAGAAAGCATTCCAAATTCCAACCTGTCACAAACATAAATATTTTAAAGTGGAATGTGAACCATGACTAATAATGGGGAACTGTAAAATCACAGTCTGTACTTGAAAAGTTAAAACAGCAAAAGGTGGAGTTTCCCGTTTGGGTGTGATCTGAGATCTGTGCACACATTGTGTCCGGAATTGTTTGGCCAATGTTTTAGAAATTTTTTTATTAAATTTTACTTTAGAAAAGGTCCTTGATGTATGAATAATAACCTTGTGTGATATGATCAATACAGCTGAACTTGGATATATCACAGACGATCAGAAAGTGAATTAATGTCTAGTTCACCACCTGTGAGTAGTCAGCTTTGCAAATAACTACAACTATCTTTAAAAAAATTGCATTTACTAGTTATACTAGTTGGCAGAAATCAGTTTTAGTAAGTTTAAAATTTTACACTCAAAGCTTCTGAAACATGCTTGTTAGCAACTGGCATCCAAAGAGCCATCTTGACTTTAAAAGTCTCCATGAATTTTGCAAATTATTGGAAACTTGTAACAGTTCATTCAGTCTGTAGCCGTATCAGATTTGTGACAGAGTCAGCTTCCACCACAATGTTTTTTAAACTAGCACAGAAGATAACAGAAATTTAATTTGGCTTTAGATTTTTGAGTGTTGTAACTGATTTCCACTGAATTGCAGTGGAAGGCCATTTGGTTGCACAGTGCCAGAAATTCTAGACTCTGGCAAATTTTTGTTTTTCTTGAAGATTATTTTCTAATTTTAATTTTTGCAATGGCAAGCCAGGATTTTAGAAGTCATAGTTGTTTCGAGAGGACCCAAGATAACAGGAGAGAGAGGAGAATCTTCTGCATTTCTAAACAGGTCATTGGGGTAATATTTGGCTGTATCTGTTGTCCATAAACTAGGTTATCCCAAACAAACTGGGTATTGGGAGAAGAATTAAATTTTAGGCAGAATTACAGAACAGAATTAAATTTGAATGGATCTCAACAAAAGATAAATATCCCAAGACAGGGAAGCAAAGATATCCAAGAAAACCTTACTGTGGAAAACAATCCTACATGCTGTTCTTTTTTCAGACTTTCTTACATTAAAGTTGATTTAGTAATGGACCAATGGCTTGCAATGTTTCTCCTTGTCAGTGTACAAAGGGATGCACTTGTATCTTTACAAGAATACATTATATAAATGTAAAATGATGCTCTCTTAACACAATTCCGCCATCTCAGAGTACCCCTTAGGGTTGGATGGATGTGATAGTAATGTATGTACACAGAAGAAGCTTCATGTACTCAGAGTATCTATAGTGATTTTGTGGGTATCACCTGAGCACTGAGATTAGATTTACTGACATTTTATAATTCACTGACTGTTATTTAGTATTTATTTTGAAGGCATTTCATTTATGGGTATAGTGCAGTATGACGGATCCCATACCAGCTTTCTTGAAAGTGTTTTGGGCAAAGTATCACTCCCTTCTTTATAATGTATATCAATATGATTAAGTAGGCTATGTAGAGCTGATTGTGCTGAAGATCGTGTCATGTGATGGAATAAGTGGCATCAATTTTGAAAATTAAAATAAACTTTGCCAGCCGGTTGGAAATTATGGTTATCTTGTTTCATTATATTCAGTGTGATTGTGTTCTTAAATATGCAAAAACCTATCTTTGGATTCTCTTTAGGTCTCTGTGGAAAAGTGTCTTAACAATTTGCCTTGTGCATTAAAAACTGCTTAATATACACAATTATACATTTGAACTGAATAGAATGATACATAGTTACAAGTCATACTTGCTAAGTTGCAATATTACAGTTCGATGGCTTTTTTCCTATATCCAGAAGTGCTCTTAAACACAACTGAACATTCTTTTCTCCCCCCAAACCTTTTTTAAAATGCGGAAGTGCTTTTACAAACAACTGAAGGGCTTTTCCCACCACCAAATCACAGGGACCTTTTGTGTTTTTAGCTGTCGACTGCCACATTAAATCACCTGTTTGGTTAGTTGAACCCGACATGCCTTTTAGAATATTGTTTTCAATGGGAAAACCTGGGATTAAGCCCAAGGCACTTGGTTTTCTACAAGCTACAGGGCATTTTGGAACAGTCTTATCCAGCCCTTTGTAGGCATCTGCTCATTGCACAAAGAAAATCAGCATCTAAGTGGCATTTTGTCAAAGAAGCTATGAGTGGCTGGAATAGAATAGAACATGGAAATGTGCTGCAGGTCCTGGAAAAGCTGCCGAATGAGTTTGAAAATAGGCTTGAGGCCATCGCTGGGTACAACCAAGAGAAATCGATTGTTCCTATTACTGACATCATTTAACTTGATAAGCACAAAGTTCACCAAAGCAAATATTCAATCCATGCATTTTAAATTTCTAAATAACACTTTGCAGAATATCAATTGGAGCCACTTTTAGAAAATTCAAACATATCATAGTTTTCACAGTTTAAACCTGGTTTTGATTGGACTTTCAGTGTGTTTTGTCTGAATAGGATTGACTAGATTCATGAAAATGTTTTTTTCGCAAAGTATAAACATATTTAAAGGGGAATAAAACATTCAAAGCTGATATTCAATTGTTAATAAGATCCACGAAGTGCAAAATATTGTTTTATAGTACATTAATATATGTTGGTTGGGGTAAAAAGATACAGTGAATTCTATGCTGGCAAGAAGTCTGTGCACCTTGCTGCAGCCCTGAATTTCAGAAGATTTTAAAGTGCGCATGTTACAGGTGTAATTTTATATTACCAAATAGAATTGTTTGGAAAATATGGCTATCTGTTATATGTACCATAAAGAAATTATGTAAAATTCCACACAACACAGATATTTAGTGAAACCTAAGTTCCTGTAGAATCCCATTTATCTTGGTGGGGGTCAAAAGTAGTGTTTAAAGTTATTTCGAAGTATTTGATAATGCAATGCTTAGGATAACTTATAATTGCAATGTGGCTTATCGCAGTTTGTCAATGTTTAACAAATAATTTTGTATTTCTTATTTTTGTATGCCTCTAATTTTGATGGAATTTCTCAACTTTTGTTAAATAGAGAAGACATTTGCATTCTTGTAACATTGCACAGCACTCTAGTGACTTACAGGAAGTGATGGACTGTATAGTGGGAGTATTTTCAGTCATTTGAAAAATGAGAAGAAAGTAATGCTGTACTTATGAGAACTAGAGCCATATTGTAAGATCACGGTATTAAAATGTAACTTTTGCACTTCGACATGAATCTTTGTTTTCATTACTGTAATCAACTTAACAGCTCTGGTTAGTAGTCGTGAAGTAGAAAGCAAGTTTCAAAGATAACTCAATCAAAGATTTCACTATGATAAATCAGTAATTCTTGTTAAAAATGTAGGAGTGAGTGCATTAGATTGCTATTAGACTCTGCTCTGATCCTTCCATCGATAATAACCACCTGGCAATTGTAGTTAAGATTTCAGGGTGAATGATGGGTATCACTAGGGTGCCTCTGTACTCCAGCAAGGAACTAACATCAGAATAAGTGGTGAGGGGAAAAAAGTCCTAAAATAAGAATATGAGGAACCAGGTAGTAATGGAAAAATAGTTTAGGTTTCTGATTCTATAGATTGGGTTGAGGAGAGTGACCCATTTCAGTCTAATGCTATAACTCTTTGTTCATTATGATAGTGAAAGTGGACATCCTTGGTAGAAGTCCAACTGAGTTCAAATCTTTTGGAGACCTTCTGACCTATTCAATGTACTGCACATTGGATAACCAAAAATGAACAGGGTAGAATTGAAAATGAGGGCAGAATTCTGAAGGAATGGTGTGTGTGGACACAGAGCAGCCAGAGGGTCACCCCTTGGAAAGGCAGGTCTGGCAGTGGCGCCTGTGAACATTTTGAGTCTGAGATGAATCTTCTTCAGAACTGGTTTACAACCTGAACCCTAAAGACCAGACTTGGAATGTTCACTCTGTTTCTCTCTCTCTGCGCAGATACTGAGTTTCTCCAGCTCTTTCTGTGTTGTTTTCAGATTTCCAACATCTTTTATTTCAAAATAGGATCAGGAGTAGGCCATTCGGCCCTTCCAGCCTGCTCCACCATTCATTACCACTATGACTGATCATCCAACTCCATCCCTGACTTTACCCCCTGCCCACCCCCACCCCCACCCCCACCTCCACCCCCACCCACACCCCCACCCACACCCCCACCCACACCCCCACCCACACCTCCTTCCATCCCCAAGAACGATATCGAGCTCCTCCTGAAGAAGATTCAATGTCCAAAGGGACCGTGGAGATGAGGGGGGGAGGGTCGGTTTGTCTCGGAGCCGGTTTCCACCCGGACGGGTTTGTCCGGGACACCACCGGAAGCGGAAATGTGGTCAGTGTACCGTTGTTGGCGGGAGTTTTAGCAGAGGTAACAAGAAGAAAGTCGGGAGGTTGTGGATCAGTGTCTGTGAGGGTGAGGGTCCCTGTCTGTCTGTGTATGAGGGTGAGGGTGAGGGTCCCTGTCTGTCTGTGTATGAGGGTGAGGGTGAGGGTCCCTGTCTGTCTGT